AAGATTGTATCTGTGATATTGATACTGTTTGATGTGCAAACAATGCGATATTTCTATATGATATTAGCCCAGCTTCAATCTTGTGGATGATGGCTGTATAATGAAGTACCGTAGAATGGGGTGACTTGAAATCGTGTGGTGACTTGAAATAAAATGCAGTGAAAATTTTGAAGTAGTGGCAACGTCGCATGTCAACGGAAGAAGCTAAACTAGTCTTTCAGTCTAATGATTTTTTGTTTATTTTTGTAGTTTTTTATCTTTTTTGTATTTTGCTAAAAAATATTTGTTCTAAAACACAGTGTTTTTTTATGAAATTGATGATTTCTATATATTTTTTATTTAATTTTCATTTCATGTCACCACCTAGACCATCCTACTTGAAATAATCGTTGATAAGAAGTCATATTTCAAGTCACCCCATATTGGGGTGACTTGAAATATGACGTTTGACATTTTTTTTTTCGAAAACTACACTATATAGAAACGGTTTTAATGTATCGTTCTGTTCTTTAGGGTCGAAAGAGTTGGTGACTATTTTTAGTTTGGTTGAAAGTTGCATGGTAAGGTCGCAATCTATGGAAGTGTGTCAAAAATCTTATCAAGTCACCCCATTCTACGGTATCTGTGTATAATTATTTGAGTACTTGAGACTGAGTCTAGTCGAATTTCATTTATTCGAGAGTACAAAAATTGAGAACCTGATAGATCTGAGTTATTATTTAATTCCTGACTTTTAAGACTTTTTTCTAATAGTGAACTATGCTAGATATTATTATACAAACTTAGAAACTTGGATATGTTCAACCCCCTGCTCATGATGTGAAATCAACATAATTTACTTATTTGTTGAAATTATGGATTATCACCTGATGGTCATAATCCACTAAACTTTAGAACATAACTTAGACACAAATGTTATATTACATTGTTACTTGCGGCAATGGGCTTGTGTGCCTCCTTTAAATATTATAATGTGATGTTGATGGTGAATAAAAATATATCAAGAATTACTTGGAATAGTGCGCCTTCATAACTTTCATTTATATTACTCAAAACATCTGAACATAAACATTCGAATTATTTTCTAGGAGTTTTTTGGTTATGTTTATTTCTTCTGGTATCATCAAGAGAAATATCTGAATAATCTTCAGGAAAGACAATGAAGATGATCTTTTCCTGAATATAACTGTATGATCCAGTTACGATCCGACACAAACACCGTACCAGTAGTATCTGTCCTCACAGCGCCAAACCAAGGGTACCCCTGAACCTCAGCTTCCTTATCATTACCCTCACGAAAGAGTAATTTCCACTGATGAGATGAAAAGTTTTAAACGGTCTCAAAGCTTAAACATGTCTTTTCAGTAATAATGGATGTTAATGACTGAATTTGGCTAGATCAGTATGGAATTTGTAAGAATGTGGGTACTTCCTTACTTAGTCAACATACAATTTGAAAATGTAGTGTTAGTAGAGAAGTTCTAGTTTTTCCTACAATCAACACGGCCAAAATATGACCCTTCTTTGAGTTATCTGTCCGCTTATGCTTAAGCGTAATATATCAATCAACGATTATACATTCCATGGACTTTTCCATTCATCTTGAAATTCTCACATGATCTGACCAATCGCACGCCAAAGACAACTTGTATTATCGCGAAAACACTAACCGTCTTCCAATTCTGATTGGTTTATCTGCGTTGGTGTTCTCAACGATGTGAGCATGGATAGATAAGAGGAGTATATGTCAGTTTGACATGAGATAATTATAGCTGTAAATGTCATGATGAATCGCTGTTTTATGACCTGTTCATTTTCAATAAATGCTTCTTATGCTTTGTGGAATTGTCTAGCAAAATGAAACTCTGTTCTGAATACCTTCTCATGATTTTGTCCCATATAAATATTTTTTTTTTCTAAGACGAATTGCATTTTATCATCGAATGATGTAGGGATGGTAGACTTGGTAATATCTTCTATTAGGTTTGAATAAGGCGAGAACATTCCAATAACTCTACATAGACAAGGTAGATTCTGAGGAGGAGGTAGTTGCGGTAATTTTATCAATCATACAGGATCAGGTCTAATGAATTTATTGTCTATGGCATATCCTGAAATAATGAAAGTTTGAATGAAAAACTTGCTATTTTTCTGTTTAACGTTGAATTGTATTTTTCAGCAGTAACCATGAATATCATCGATTTTTTGTTGTGATGAAAATTTCTCCTAATTGTTCTTTGTCCATTACATATATCATCTATAGCACGATGAGAGAACGCAACACCATGCATTCGTAACTCCAAACTATTTTCTCGTGAACTGATATAATTTTTCAGCAGCTTCAAAGGTAGTGAAAGCATTATCTTCTCCTTGTATGTATAGGGCTTTAATGTTAGGCGCTCTTCAGATCTATAGTACCGGAAACTGCATATTTGAATACTCTTTGCACAATATCTTCAATATTCAGTAATGGATGAGCCTCAAGTTAAGTGTACTTATTGATAGTCTGGAAGCAATCTTTGACAATTTGCTGTCTATATGAGTTTCATTGACAGTAACTATAGAGGCTGAGCTCGCCATGGAGAACAACTTTGTATATTTCATTTTATCATCTGATAGAAGTTTTGCTGCCTCTTCTTCGATAAAATTGTGAACAGCTTCGGATTAACGTCATTCACCTGGTGGGTGATGTCACACTAACTAATCCTTTGACCTCGTTAGAACACCGTTGAAAAGTCGGCGACCTTTTACTCGTCTACAGATACTTTCACGGAAATTGTTCTCCAGAAATCATTGTTTCATTCCATCAATTGCAGTACCAATCAGAACGAACTCGACAAGCCCAGTCAGCACATCCTTTTGTTGTCAACTTGCGAATATATCGAACAACACTTCACCAAAATTGTTCGTTTATATGACAAGAAAGCATTGGGATTCTTCGCCATTAGAAGTATTCTCAAGAACTTATAACCTCATTATATAATAAGTCGAAAGGTAAAAATTCCGATACATACTTCCTCTCCCTACCCTCCCGAAGTACGTAAGATATTCCCCGAAAAAAATGCCTCAACTTGATTGATATCGGTTTGCTTGTCTTACTTTTTTGTTGGCAGCTGATGTTTGATTAACAGTAATGCCAACATCATGATATCATCTGTATATCAACCATAAACATCAAATCATCATCATCAAAATACTTCATTGTCTGAAGATAGATACATCTTATTGACAAAGTCTGGAATCCTAAATTTGAATTTAAAAGTTGATAGTTCCAATATACACACAAATGTTGGAAACAGTTTTTTGGGCAATACACAAGATAGTCAATCAATGATACAAATAAAAATAAAAATTTTTTTGTCGACACATCATTAAAATATATATAAATATATACATTGCACAGTGTGTATTGGGCGTAAAATGTAAATTTAGTATAAATATTGGTAAGGTCAGGTAAAATACATTAACAGCTAATGATTTAAACTAAAATGGAAAGTCCAAAAAGTTGTATCCTACTTGATCAGATTAATAAAATGTCAGCTAAATTGATCTTCGTAAAATTCCTCTGTAGTATAATAGGCCCTCACAACCAAGAACTCTTTCACTTCTTTTCTGAATCTGGATACACTCTGTATTTCTTTTAAATTGCTGGTGATATGGTGTCTTAAACGTGTATTATATACTGACGAGTTGTTTATATCATTTCTGTATTTCTTGTGAATTAGACATACTGTCTCTAAAATAAAAAGACCTGCCAGTGTTAAAATCCTTTGCTCTAAAAACAATGGTCTACATGAATCGCGGCATTTGGCTTTACATAAATATCTAATGGCTCTTTTTTGAAGGGTAAAGACCATTTCAAACAGTTGCTGTGAACATATACCCCAAAAGCAAATGCCATAGCGTAGATGTGACTCTACTAATGAAAAATAAACCTGCCTAGCATCAGCAATATCCAATTCGTGAGAAACACTACGTACAGCAAAGCAACCCGATGCTAAACTTTTACACAACTTGTTGATGTGGCTTTCGAATCTTAACTTTTCATCAATAAATAATCCCAAGAACTTATTTTCCGCGGCATTGCTAATTATTCCATCATCTAATGAAACCTCCCTGATGTCACATCTGAATGATACGATGTTCGTTTTGTTGACATTGAATGATAGGAGATTTGCATCACACGACTCTTTCACCCTTATTACATCCACACTGATGTGATCGAATAGATCGGCTATTGATTTATCGTGCCATAGGATTGTGGTGTCATCTGCAAACATTGTGAATTTACCCTGGATGTCCAACTGATTCAAATCGTTGACATACAACAAGAATAAAAGAGGTCCCAGAACCGAGCCCTGTGGGACACCAGAGTTGACAACACATTCATTGGATTCGATTTCATTAAGTAAGACATTTTGGCGACGTTCAGTTAAGTAAGATCTGAACCATGACAATGCATTGCCTCTGAATCCATATATTTCAAGTTTTTTCAGCAGTATTCTATGATTTACGCAGTCAAACGCCTTGGATAAGTCACAAAAAGCTGCCGCAGCTACCTCTCTATCATTCAGATTTAGGTAAAGATTTTCTAGGAAGGAAAAAATAGCATCATTTGTACTTTTTGAGGCTTGGAAGCCAAACTGATTGGAACTCAGTATGTTAAACTTCCTCAAGAAGGATGATACCCTTGTTTTTACCAGTTTTTCTATTATTTTTGATAGGATTGGTAACAGGGAAATCGGTCTGAAATTGGCAGGGACATGATCTCCGCCTTTATACAGTGGAATTATGGTGGCAATTTTTAAACAGGCGGGAAATGATCCTTTGGAGAAGGAAATATTAATTGCATCTGCCAAAATTTTTATTGCACCATCCGGCACTCTCAGTCAATATAATGATGCCCCCATAATGAACTTCCAGAGACAAAAATTTTATAATAATTGTATTGAGTAACTCGACTTTCAATGAGTTTTTTTTTCTTGCAGGGCAGTGCAATCATGGAGAAAACTGAAGCAATACTGGAGACTCAACACATTTCTGAGGCATCTGATTCTCTATTCTCGTCATTAGATATTTTCTTAGTTGCTTTGATTGTGGGAGGAATTAGTTGGTACTTCATAAATAAATACAAGAAAACTACCACAGTAACAAGCGAGAGGTCATATTCTATATCGTAAGTTTTAATGTTTTTTTTTTTTGAAATGTATCTAATAACAAGAAAAAATCTCAGAATCATCTCCACAACATTCAATGTCGTGGGGATGATTTTGAGATTTATTCTTCCTTCAAAAACTACTACTCCACTACTGAGCAATATGGACTTCGCTTCAGACGTTTTTTGTATCTAATATGTCTAGTATTCATTTACAAATACCATAAACAGGATGTTCCTTAAAGACATGCTAATATTCATTTCAAGTCAGTCAAAATCTTCCTACTAACATATGTCATAAAAGTCTCAACTTTTGAGATACAGGGTGATGAAGTTTAGAAAAAGCATAATTTCTTTCAATTATAATTGGGATAATAATGGAATCTTGTATGCCCCATGGTGCATTTTTTGATGCATTAAATTTTTCATTTCCTCTATCAGTGGCGCCTTTAGGGGGATATGATTGATTATATTATACTCAAAAGTGAGCAAAGAAGGAATATTTCCAAATTTCATTCATTGCTATGAGAAGTCATTCAATTTTGTACAAAAAAGATCCTCATGTTGATGGGAGGGGCATCAGCCACCACAGCACTATGCAATCTAAAAATGGAATAAAATACAGGGTAGTTTTCTTGAAATAACAAAGTTGTTGCTACTTTTTGATAGAAGCGGCAACACTGCATTGCTGAAATTATTTCAAATGAAGAGAACGTATTGTAACATATAAGCATGCATTTTTTCATGTATTTCTCCCGACTAATTTTCGATATAGAGATAGTGTCAGCTCGTCGTGACATACCCTGTATTACACATTTAACGAGAACACTTAATTTAATGGTATACAAAGCCCATGTATAGGGTGTCCCAAAAGTCATGGATCAAAAGGAGTGGGGTCGGAGGGGGGGTCATTTCCAATAAAACTAACCGTATATGTGGTTATTCAATTGTTAATGGTTCAGAAGTTTTTTTTTTTTCATTTCTTCCTGGAAGTATATAGTTTTTTTACAGCAAAATCACATGTTTTTTTCATGAATTGAATTTTTTATGGCGTGCGTTACTTCTCATCGATGTTGTTTGCCATAAGTTTCCTTAGATGAAATAATTCAGTTGGTGTTTTAATGCCGCTGGCAGATTCAGAAACTACCCCACAAGGATATGACAATCATCATAAAAACATGCCCATTCGATACAGATCCAGAAATGGTATAATATATTCTAAACAGCCTTTTTGTTATAAATTTCCCCATATTGGTCGCGGTTTTCAGGCAAATCGAATAACTTTTGCACCATCAGAAATTGGACAACCACATATACGGCTAGTTTGATTGGAAATGACCCCTCAGCTTAAACATCCTCATCCACACCCCTCATTTTCTTTCTTATCATCTCATCATGAAAGTACAGGGCTTCGATTGTATAATCAGGGTCAAAATTCAATCAGAACGACAGGATTGCAAAAAAATGCGAAGTTCGAAAAAAATGATAAACTTTGAAAGGCTCAATGTCGGAAACTAATAAGTCTACAGAGACAGTTTATATATCATATTGTAGCAAATTTGGTCTACTTTGAAAACATTCTGAAAGAGTTTTTTCAAAAACTAGTCCTTCAGGGTTATAATCGCCAAAAACTGAAAAAAAACGATTTTTTCGCAGCTTTTTCGATTTTTGGCAAAGTTGCGTTCGGCGCTCAAGGTCACAAACTTTGATAATTCATTAGGTCAACATCATGAACAAGTCTGCAAAAAATCAGAACTATCGGATTTGACGTATACTGTGATGCATAAAGTTACTGGATTATTGTATATTATGTATTTGGTATATTTTTCCCAGGCCCTCACCCATAACATTAGAAAATCCATCGGACAGTTCGTTTATAAAGAAATTACAAAGTTCTGGAAGGAGTCTGGTCGTATTTTATGGAAGCCAAACAGGAACAGCAGAAGAATTTGCTGGCCGGTTAGCCAAAGAGGGAGCCAGATATAGGTTAAAGGGTATGGTAGCAGACCTTGAAGACTATGAGATGGTGAGTTTGTTTTGATAAAATAAATTGATAAAATGTATTTCAGTGTTAGTAATGAGAATGCTATATAATTCGCGCATCGCAACTCAGGGTATGGATGACCTGCAATAAACAGGGTTTTCAAAAACAGGTGATCCTTTGGCTAGATTGGTAGGATTTTTGTTACTGCATCCGTATTTGAGATACAGGTATACCTACCTAGTAAAAAAATTAGGTAAGTATACACATTTTTCAAGATAATGACAAACCTTCTGACATTGTAATTCAATGCTGTATGAATATTTTTGGAAAGCTGATCACCCAGGCAACCAGATGACGTTTCAGTGACGTCTTTTCACGTCAGTCAGTGACGTCAGGAGTTGACGTCGTCTGACGTGATAAATGACGTGAATAAGTCACAGCCATATGACGTCATATTACTCACGTTAATTGACGTCATTCACTCACCAAAATATGACGTCGGGATGACGTCAAAATGACGTTGAAATTTGGTGATGACACGTAAAAACGTTTCCTCGAACATGGTTTGATAATCACTACTCACCTTTGATGTCATTTAATATTGATTATACATTGTTGAGTCTGCTTGGTGGTCCCTCTGGTGTCATGTCAATTCAATCGTCTCATTGCTATCCCCCAATACGCATCTCCATCAGAATGAAATCAGTTACTCGTATTTGTATAGAAAATTATGTAGTTTGTGTCGGTGAGATGTAACCAAACTAAAAATAGTTTGATAGGATTGATAAGGATGTTGGCGAATTTAGCTTCACTTTGTTGAGTAACGTATATTGATGCATTATTCATCACCCGACAACAATCTAAATCGCAAATAATTGAGGAATTTTCTGAATGACGAAGCTCTCCAAATTGGTAAGTCACACCCACGTGATTTTTAGACGTCATAGATACGTCACTGCAACGTTATCAGAGTGACGGTTTCAGTATAGGTACACCTATATTATCATTTGTATATATATAATAATAATAATAATAATAATAATAATGGGTCTTTATTTTCATCTAAATCATTAATACAACTACATATTTTAAATGGGGCGACATTCAACATCGTTGCTCTTCCATGCAACCCCGAAAAGTACCATTTCAAATTGCTGTCGTAAATGTTAAACTAGACAAAAGAAGAAAAGAAAAAATAGGCATTAAAATTAGAGGCTGAAAATACTAAATCAACGTACAAAATATCGTGGCAATACAGAGCAGATATTCAACTTAGCTGTCAGCTAATATTTTCTAAGGTTCACAGGCTCATGTGACCTAGCAACTTCAAAATATATATATATAGCTTGATTGGTTTCCAAAATATACAGGGTGTCGAAGTTTGAAACAGGTTTTCTCTCACTTGTTGGGTATATATAATTTCAATAAAACTTGCATGTTGATTCGCTTCAATGAGTTATACTCCTATCGACGTAAGAATCATATACAGGGTGATCCACGGTGGATGGCCTATCAGATGTATCTGGAGAACGAAAAGACAGAACTTTCTGAAAATTGGGATGCTCTGATAATTGTACATTCTCTTCCGTCTAGAATATTTTCATCGATACAGTGTTGCCACTTCTATCAGAAACAACTAGCAACTTTGTTATTTCAAATCAAACACCCTGTATTCTATTGCATTCTCAGATTCTTCCTGGAGAGCTGATGCGATCAATGTATCACACTCGGGGTCTAGCAGAAATGATTACAGAGATATATGGAGTTCAAAATCGAGATTTTCCAATTTTAGGATTATTTTGTGTCGAAACTATCCATTATCGATCGAAACGGCTTACATGTCCCTATATCAACTTCTTATTTACTATCTACTGGAATTTAATTGGAAAAAATACAGGGTGCTTCAAGATTCAGAATTCTGATCTCCCTGTATCTGTTCCAATTAAATGTCAGTAGATAGTGAATCAAAAGTTGAGATAGGGACATGAAAGCTGCTTTGATCGATATTGATTAGTTTCGACACAAAAAAATCCTAAAATTGAAAAATCTCGATTTTGAACACCCTATATCTCTGTAGTCATTCCTGCTAGATCCCAAGTGTGATACCTTGAAATCAGACCTTCAGGAAGAATCTTAAAATGCAATGGAATACAGGGTGTTTCATTTGAAATAACAAAAGTTGCTAGTTGTTTCTGAAAGAAGTGGCATCACCGAGGGCATCACTGTATCGATGAAAATATTCTAGACGGATGAAGAATGTTCAATTATCAGAGCATCCCAATTTTCAGAATGTTCTGTCTTTTCGTTCTCTATGTACTTCTAATAGGCCATCCACCGTGGATCACCCTGTATATAAAATTATCAAGACGTACAAGTTTCTATATATGTGTGTGAAATTGATGAAAAAACAATTTTTCACTTAGAACTTTTCGACACAAAAAATACCCATCCTGTATATATTGGTACGTCACAGAACTAACGGTTTCACAGTGTGAGTATACATGGTTTAAGACGTCGACAGGACGTCCCTGCAACGTCTTGTAACTGAATTCTCATTTTTCCCTTTCAAGTGACGTTCACTCGACGTCGAGATGATGACGTGATTCTGACATCATGAAAAGTACGTCATAGTGACGTCATATATTGGTGTGTTACGTCTCTGATGAAAAATCACCAATTAGGGTAAGTCACAGTGACGTGATCATACGTCATATGGTTGCCTAGGCATCATAGAAGGCGCTATATACACGGTTCGTATCGAGAAGTACCTATTAAACATACCTTTTTTGGGGTTGATAGATTTGCTAGTATGGATTTCGTGTGAACTTGAACATCATTCAATAAACACCAAAAATGTACTCTTGCACCGTAGGTACACAGTATTGGTTTGAGAGTAGCAATATATTCTGTATGGAATTGTATGATAATGTTGATGTTCCAAAGACGTGTTGATTAGTGAACCAAACCTCAGAAGAGTTATGTTCCGAAGTACTCGATACGAACCCTGTCATTCGCGCACAATATTATTATAATAGTCAGATATGAAAACGAATTCTTGCGATGTATTGGCTTCGAAAACATATCCAGTTCATTACAACGTCGCCAGTACTTTCGAAATTGTCGTAGAAATTATGTAGGTAGGTATACAATTGTTTTTCAACTACTTGATCCGGATGCTTTCACAAAATGTTCTTACTGAGCAAACTCAACTTATTCAGAAGTGTTCCATCTATAATGGCAACGCGGTCACTGTTCTCGAAAAACGCTCCAATAATAGGTAATAGTTATCACCTTAGTTGTATAATATTCTATTTCTTATTACTCATATGAATGTGATATACCTATACGAACTTTTTGAAAGCAAAGTAGCAATAAGTGACAATATTCCTTCTAGGAAGAACTAGTTAATTTGAAAAACATCCCGAACTCTCTGGCAGTTTTCTGCCTAGCTAGCTATGGTGAAGGTGAACCAACTGACAATGCTAGGGAATTTTGTGATTGGTTACAAAATAGCGAACCTGACCTCAAAGGACTGACCTATACTGTAAGTAGATTAGCTTATTGTTTATATTTTCGGAGGGATATTGTATCTACATCAGTTCCCGTTCATGAGATACAGGGGGATATTGGAATTTTTTTCCTTTTGTATGTACACCTTTCTAACAGTGTGTCCATTTAGTGCGTAATTCTTCGATATCTCGAAATCAATTATCACAAGAGCAAAACTTTGGAGAAAACACTTTTTCAGTTACTGAAGTTACTCATTTCGAAAATATTTCCAACAATACTGGGTGTTTTATAAAAGCGGGGCAACTCGAAGACGAGTTTTTTCAAATGGAACACCCAGTATTCTTCATTCGAAATTTATTCCGCTCAAGAATTTGGTTGCGGCGTCGCCAAGTTATAATTGATAAACCCATTTTTACTACTATTGAAGGGTCATGTTCAATTGGGTATGGTATATTTATTGATTGAAATTTCGAAAATATTTTTGGCATACAGTAGAAGCAAGGTCTCACGTGTACCAATCCAGTAATCTCGCGAGATAATCCTCTACAAGGTGTTTAAATTATCATTCTGAATATTGTAAGATTCAGACGACGATCATAAGAATTTTCCATCACAGATTTATTTCTACATCATGCGCCTTTTAATCGCAGAAGAGAAAATCAATATCGGTTGAGGCGGTTTCAAGGTATGAGTAATTTTCTTATTTTTACTACTATTTCGGGGTAATTTGTACGCCATGATGGTTCTTTAATTTGAATTGAGTGTGGGAATATTGCTTGCCACATGACATTCGAGGTTATATATAGATCATTCAGATATTTTTGTGATGTCCAAATTTTAAATATTCCGTAATCTTGTTACTTATGATTCAAATAATATATGTGAAACAAACAAACATGCCAAAAGCAACGCCTGTCTTTGAAACAACTTCTACAATACAAACAATGAAGATGCGAATTGCGAAAATTAGGACAATTTTTTGAAATTTGAGCCATTTTTATTGTCGTTATTCTCACAATCCAAATCTCTATTTAACTTGAAGAAGGCAAACATAATGATACAAACAATATGTCTCTACTACGCGGCTTTTGGGAGGAAATTCAGCAAAATGTCGAATCAATCCAAGATATATTTGATTGTGGCGATGTTCGACAGGTCATTACACAAATATTTTGAAAAAACTTCAAACTTGGTGAGCCTGTAAATGTTTCTTTTATGAAAAAATATATGAATGATCAATGAAAAAATTCGATTATACCGTAGCCACGCAATATTTCCACGATACAAATGAATGAAAGAACTATGACGTACAAATTACCCCGGAATAGTAGTAAAAATAAGGAAATTATCCATAACTTGACAACGCCGCAACCGATTCCGATTTTTCTCCAGCGATAAAAAGGCAAAGGATGTAGAAATAAATTTTTGAATAAAAATACAGGGTGTTCCATTTGAAAAATTCTGATGAATGTCATCTAAATCTGGCAAAATTCTAAATGCAAAATTGAGCACCCTGTTGAAGAACATGTCGCAAAATCACTGATTGATATACGTGAGACCTTGCTTCTACCGTATGCCAAAAATATTTTCAAAATTTGAATAAATGAATATACCATGCCCAATTCAACATGACTCTTCAATAATGGTGAAAATAGATTTATCAATTATAACTTAGCAACGCCGCAACCGATTTCAATTTTTTTCACAGCCATGTGAAGGTGAACCTCGACGGAATGAACTCCGAATGAACAATACTGGGTGTTCCATATAAAAAAACTCTTCTTCGAGTTGCCCTGCTTTTAAAAAACACACAGTAATGTTGAAAATGATTTTGAAATGAGCAACTTTAGTAACTGAAAGAGTTTTTTCTCCAAAATTTTTCTCTATAGGTTATGACTGTTATATCTACGAATTAATTGGAAATTATGCTGCACTAAGAACTTTCTCTAACAGACAATTTCGCAGAGAATCTAGTAGCGCACTTGTTTTTTTTTTTTCGGGGTATATTTCTGAAGATACGACAGGAACATATACTTTTCAATGGAACACCCTGTGCTTTACTATGTTGATTGATTGATTGATTGATTAATAGCAGAATGATCAGTCAGGGTTTGAAGCCCAAAACACTGCAGCCTTTGGGCCTATTGTATTCCTGATCATGCTGTTGACTTAGGTGAACAGGTTCGCTACCTTGATGAGGTTTAGCAGCCTCTTCACCAGATCATTCTTTGAAAATGCCTCTTGAGAGTTTACTGCTCCCAGAAGGTTGTATCTCCAACGCGCTAGTGCTTCGCACTCCAGTATTACATGGGTGGCAGTTTCCTCCTCCTCATTGCATAGTCTGCATATGGGTTCGTCTGTATAGATGCCCATTTGATGCATATGTTTCCTCAAGGGGCAGTGACCGGTTATTAGTCCCGTCACTTGTTTGATCTGACTTCTGTTTAGGCTCAGAATGTCGTTAGTCACTGTTTTGGACAGTGTTCCAACCATCAGTTTACTGTGTCTTTGTCCTGGGACATTGTTCCAGTATGCCTGATGTCTTTCTTGCATCCACCTTGCCAGCCAGCCGCGTATTGAGGTTTTGGGGATACCGAACACAGGTTCCGGCCCCATAAACAACGTCGCAGACCCTTGCCGGGCAAGAGCGTCAGCTGCTTCATTGCCTTCAATTCCCTTATGCCCTGGCACCCATTGAAGAGTTACCTTGTTGTGGTTAGCCAGGGTTAGCAGGCTTTGAAGGCAATCCCAGACCAATTTTGATCTGATTTTATTGCATGTTAGAGATTGAATGGCCGCCTGACTATCTGAGCATATGAGGATTTGTTTACCTCTGTATCCTCTTACGATATTCTCTCTCAGGCATGCCTCAATAGCATGCACCTCTGCCTGGAATACTGAAGCATACCTCCCCAAGGAAGCACACATCCTGGTTCTGGGTCTATCTCCATATATTCCGGCTCCCGTGCCCTCATCAGTCTTAGAACCGTCAGTGTACCATACTAACGTGCCTTCCTGACAGTTAGTCAAGACCCTTTCATCCCAGTAGAGCTGAGTGTTGAAGGGTCTGTAATAGTTATTTCTAGGCAGCATTTTGTCCCTTCCCATATCCATTAGTGGGCTTGAAACTTGGCTGATTATTTTTGTATGTCCCAGGGAGTCACCCCGAGCATACCAGTTGCCGGTACACTCCAGTCTGTATGCCCCCATCCTCGCTTCCGCCCTGATGAAGATTTCAAGAGGTGGGATATTGAGTATGGTTTCCATAGCAGCGGTAGGAGTGCTGCGCATAGCACCTGTGATGCAGAGACAAGCTAATCTCTGGAGTTTTGAAAGCTCCATTTTAGCTGATCTCTGTTCAGTCTTAGGCCACCAGACAAGCGATCCATATACAATCATTGGTCTCACCACAGCAGTATACAGCCAATGTACCATGCGTGGTTTCAGTCCCCATGTGTTACCAATCGCTCTCCGAGAAGCCATTAGTGCCATTTTGCCTTTGCTGACAGTCTTTCGCAGTTGAGTATTCCAGGTTAGCCTAGCATCTAGGGTTACTCCCAGATACTTAACCTCCTGTGTCATACTTAGCTGTGTGTCAAAAAGTCTGGGAACTTTTAGTTTGTCCAGTTTCTTCTTTTTCGTGAAGGCCACAAGTGCAGTTTTACCAGGATTGACCCTGAGGTCTGCCTTTCTGCACCAGCCCTCTACTATCTTCAGGGCTCTTTGCATCAAGTCTGAAATAATTTCAGGATGCTGCCCCTCTACTAGAATGACAACATCATCTGCATACCCCTGTGAGTAAATTCCTACATTGTTTAGTTTTTTCAGGAGTTCGTCAATAACCAGATCCCACAGCAGGGGAGAAAGAACTCCTCCCTGTGGGCAACCCCTAGAAATCGTCACCTCCATAGTTTCACCAAGCAATGTGGATTCCGCTGTTCTGTTGTGTAGCATGTTTTTTATCCACCTACATGTGGTGTCTTCCACGCCACGCCCAACAACCGCTGCTACCATGGATATGAAGGGTGTGTGGTCGAATGCCCCTTCAATATCCAGGAAAGCCGCAAGAGCTATGCTCTTGTTGCTTATTGCGGCCTCAAGTTTCCCCACCAGTTGATGAAGTGCCGTTTCACAGGATTTTCCCGATTGATATGCATGCTGGTTTTTATGTAGTGGCCTTTCAATGAGAAAGTTTTCCCTGATATGCATTTCAATTAACTTTTCCATCACCTTCAACATGAATGATGATAGTGTTATCGGCCTGAACGCCTTAGCCTGAGAGTAATCTCTTCCAGGCTTTGGGATGAAGACGATCCTCGCTCTCTTCCATGCAACCGGAATGTACCCTGTTGCCAGGCTTGCTCTCAATATCCCACAAATAAACGGAGCCAGCTGGTCCTTACCCTGCTGTAGCATTGCAGGGATAATTCCGTCCGGTCCCGGCGCCTTGTAGGATTCAAGAGTTTCTATGACCCACAGCAGTTTACTGTGGTCAACAATCTTCTTCGATACCCGCCAGTCCCCAACAGCAGCCCTCATGTGAGGGTTTAGTGGGTCTGGTAGATTATCGTTTTCAATTTCAACCGAATCTGGCAGATGAGCCCGAAGTAGAATCTCCAGAGTTTCCCTGCCAGTTTCAGTATATCTCCCGTCAGGTTTCATTATATTCCCCATAGGATTAACAGGTGCCTTGGCTAGGATTCGATGGAGGCGTGCTGCTTCAGAGGTTGTTTCCACCTCTCCACAGAAACGCCTCCACGACTCCCTTTTCGCCCTACGGATCTGTTTATTATAATTGGTCAGAGTGATGGAATACTGCCCCCACTCCCCAGTTTTCTTCGCCTTATTGAAAAGTTTGCGTGTTTCTTTTCTTAGCGTATTAAGTTCTTCGTTCCACCAGCTAACGTCTTTGCTGCTGTTGCGCCTTACCAAAGGACAGTTGTCCTGATATGAGGATATTATTGCCTCCTGCAACTGACAGGAGGCTACCTCTACATCAGTGCCGTTTTTGATAATCTTCTTGACGTTTCCTAGGTTTATTGTTAAGTCCTCTCTGAATTTCTCCCAGTTCGTACCTCTCGGGTTTCGATAGGCTTCTGTCGGGTGTTCAGTATCTGAAATTTCCATACAGATATACCTATGGTCCGACAAGGACGGTTCCTCAGATACACGCCACCGAGTTACCTGAGAGCTTATTCTAGAAGACGCCAGGGTTATGTCAATGATCTCCTTACGAGTTTTGGTAACAAAAGTTGCTTCGTTCCCGCGATTCATTATAACTAAATTCTTAGAAATTATGTAATCTAATAGGAACTCACCCCTTCTGTTTGTGTCGCTGCTCCTCCAAGCTGTGCTGTGAGCATTGGCATCAATGCCAAAGATGTGCTGTAGGTTTGAAAGCCTGCAGTACTCCTCTAGCCTCTCCAGTTCTGCTGACGGAGGTGGCCCGATAGAATCGTATGGCAGATACACTGAGGCTATTATGATTTCCGTCCAGATTCCTCCCATACGTATTTTCAGCCTAATTGCTGCCTGGTCCCTAGAACAGAAATCAAGCAGTTTTAGTGCGTGTAGCTCGTTCTTAACGAAAATGCAGGATCTCACATTCCCTGCCGTCAGATCGTATATTACCTTACCCTTGGCTTCTCCCAGTCCTGAGACTCGTCCCCCGTGAATCCAGGGCTCTTGTATCAGGACTATGTCAGCTTCGCCTCGGGACAGGTACCTCACTAAGGCAGCAGTCGCAGCCTTTTTATGCTGCAGGTTTACTTGAAGGACCTGCAGCATCTTCGGCGCTCTTTTTACTTACCACCCTGAAGGTAAGTTGGGACAGGCCTAGGTAGGCTTTGAAGCCTCTCTTGGCCAACTCCTTCAGGTTGAGGTCGTCAATTCCAAGAACAAGGGTAATTCCTTGTTTGTCGGAATTGGTGGAAATAATCCTCCAGTCTCCTGTTTTAATGCCCTTGTTCTGGGTTTCCAGGAGCTGTAGGATCCTAGCCGGCTCCTTGGCGTCCAGGAACTCGGTTGGCACCCATACCACAGCCCTGTGAGTTTTGACCACCTTATTAGCGTCATCGACGCTAAGGGCGGCCCCCTCCCAAGGCTTCAGCGTAGGCACCTTCCGCTTGAGCCATTCTCTGGATTCCTCATTTTCGCAGGTTAGGATCAGCACCCCCGATTGAGGGTAGCTGCCTGTGAATTGAGGCCCAGTTCCTGGCTCACATCTCCAGATCTCTCTCGTAATGAGAAGCTGGATTTGCTTCACCTGCTCCAAAGATAGCTTGTCTTCGGGATAGTTGCCCGTAGTCACTGCCATCTTAAAGGAGGTCAGGGCCTTACTGTAACTGCCTCCAGTTGGTGTACTGACGGGTTTAGTTACAGAAGGTCCCGCAGAGACACTCTGTTTGCTCCTCTTAAGGAGCGGCGAAGGTGTGCTGGTCTCGGATCTCCCCCTCTTTCCAGCGGCCTCGCAGACTTTCCCACTTCCCGTCGTGGAGATGGTTTTGTCTGGTCTCTTAAGACATGATGGATTTACGGCCACCAGTGCTTGAGGTTTTTTCGTGGGCCTCCGATTTGACCTAGGCTTCCTAGGAATGATCGGGTCCCCACGAGCCATAGCCGCCTGGATCGCCAGCTTCCTGCGCTGCGCTCCAGACATCTTCACTTTCGTGTCCGGCAGATCCTGAGGGTTTGGAACCGGTGGCTGCTCACGGCTGCCCCCAGATTCCTCCCCTTCCTCTGTCGACTCCATCAGCTCCTGTAGGATGCGCTCTTTCTCCACAGTAACCAAGGTTTGATGTGCCTCAGTTCCCGTTCCAGAAGAGTCGCCCTCCAGAAGCCTATTCTCTGCATCCAATGAAGATGAGGATGGTGTCCCCTCAACCTCCATCAGATGGGCAGGTTCGTCATTATTTTGGTTTTGGTTTTCCATATGGTTCCCACGAGTAATGCGGATGTGTTGGTCGACCTCAGCAGAGCCGTTTACTGAGGCAAGGCTGTTTACTCCAGAGTTTCGCCTGGTTCTCTGGAGGGCTCGTTGTCTGCACATCTCCCATGTACCACGCATCCCATCGGCACGGGTTCCACTCCACCTTAGGATTGGGTGACTTTTCTCATTGTTAGCCTTTGCGAAGCAGCTAGTAGCCGTTTCCCAAAGCCCCCCCCTCGCGACGTGGACGCCAATGAGAGATATCTCCAGAATTTGACAAGGTTATCCAGGCAAATGGAGGAAATATTGGCCTTAGACGCCAAATCTAAGGCCGAGGGCTTAAATTCGATATTGTCATGTGGTAGGGAAAACCTACGGACTGTTTTTTTCGTAGTTTTATACAGGGTGTCCCAGATATTTTCATATGACTAATATCTCAGTTATGCTGCTTGGAAAAGAAATTGAAATTACACTTTTGCCAAACCAATATAACTTGTAAGCAGTTGTGTCAAAGTCAACATCTGTCAAGCTACTCCTGGAAAACCACTCCCAACTTCAAATATTCAAGTGACACCCTATATATTTTTTGTTTATTTGTGAAGTGCAATCAATTCTATAACTTCAAAAAAATGTGTGTGCTAAAATGATATCGACCTAGCTGTCAATTTTTTTTAACAACTTCGGAGATAAGGAGTGTGGCAAGTTCTAGTTGGGACACAATGTTTTTCATTGGTGGAACCAATTTTATTACGAGTACTTACGTCGAATATTTATTTCAGGTTTTTGGACTAGGAAATAAGTCATATGAATATTATAATCGAGTAGCTATCAACGTAGACAAACGACTCAAAGAACTAGGTGCTACAAGAATTTACGACCTTGGACTTGGAGATGATGATGCGAAGTAAGTGTCGAAACTCCAAAGGAACGGATCCTCGTATCATTCAGATTGTTAATCGAATCGTTAGATATAGGAGGAGAGATAATGTCATTTGGCAACATGGCCAGTTGAAGAGAATAGCAGATGTTTCACTGTAGTGACCAGTGTTGCCAGGTCTGCCGTTTTTGCGCTAGATCTACCGTTTCATGGTGTGAAATACTGCTCTACCACAGAGCCTCAATATCTACCACTGAAATTCCCATTTCGAATTCACTTATAGCTAAATAAGAAGTTTGTATTCGGAGTTATTTCAATTTTCAAAATAATAATATAATATTAACAGAAATATTACAATTTATTGACTGCGTACGCCAACATCTCTATTTTAGTAACCACATTACGAGTATCATCGCTCACTGCAGATTTTGTTATCTCTTGAAACGCACGGGAGGAAATTCCTATGATGTTTGTGGATCACGTGCGTACCTAGGGAGAATAGGGAGAGAAGGGAGGTGTTGTTTTTTTTTGAAATATTGGAGGTTATGAGTTCCTAGGAATACTGCCTTTGGCAAAGAATTTCAAAGCTTTGCCGTTTTATAGACGAAGGAACTTTAGTAAAGTGTTTTTCGACATATTTCAAGGTTAACGATGGAAGGATGTGCTCACTGGGCCTGTCGAGTTTGTCTGACTCTTATTGCTACTAATGAAATAATAGCAGAGATTTCTGAGGACCATTTCCTGTAGAGTATCCATAGGGAAGTGGAAGGTCACTGCCCTAATAGCAAACAACGTCCTATAGGGACGTCCCTATTTGGTACAATTCCTGTCCAAATGTCCTGAACCAAAAATAAGTGTCCTTGGGACGTCCCATCTTGTACATCTCATGCAATGCCCGAGCAAGGACGTCCACGAAAGTTCCCAGCTGGTACATTATTTCAAATGTCCTAGAAATAGCATCCCTTAAACGTCCCACGTGGTACATATTGTAGAATGTCCATGCAAGGACGTCCTTGGCATGCCCCTGATGGGATATGATTTCAAACGTTCCTTTTGAGACATCCATCGGATGTCCCGAGTAGTTCATATTCTGGCATGACTTCAGATCTTAGATCTAGACAACCATGAAATGTCCCTGATGGTACATTGATTCAAATATCTCTGCACAGACGCCCTTGATATTTCCAGGATTGTATAACAATCGGAATGTCCCTTAGGGACATCCTTCGAATGTCCCTTAGGGATATCCGTCGGATGTTCCAATTGGTACATGAACTGTACTCTTTCAATGTCCTAGAAATAACGTCTCATAGACGTTCCAGCCGGTACTTTCAATATGTTGTCCCTGCGAGGACGTTAACTTACACCTCGCCGACGAATGATTGCTCGCAGGCTGAAAGTACTCCTCGTCAATGTCCTTCACGTTAGTCCATTGGACATCCTTGGAAAACGTTTTGAGGACCTTCTACGGACCATCAACTCAACTGGATGTCCTAATCAGTTATGCAAGATCTGGTCCTAGGGGGACCCAGAAAAATTCAAATTCAAGAATAATTAATACGTCCCTGGGACATCCTATGGACATCCAATTGATATCCTTCAGTGTTGCTGATAGGTTGTCCTATGGATGTCCTGAGGATGTCCTCTGTAGTGCTTGATGAGGAATACTGTAGGATTTAGGTATTCGATAGTTTTCCCAGGGACATCCCTCAAGGACGTCCCTAGTTGGTCCTCAAGTCGGACATTTGTGCGTCCCACAGACGTCCAATGGACGTCGACGGTACCAAATTCAAACGTCCTATGGACGTCCTGGATGTCCCGACAGGATATCCATGGGACATAGGTGTGTTATTAGGGTGATGTTCTGATGGGGTCGAAGATTTAGTGAGTTTGGCATCACCCATAAGACGAATGGCTCTTCTCTGGATGAAATATGAAAGCATCAGCATATGTTTGGGTGCAGAACCCCGTTCATGAGAACAGTATTCTGAAACTGACCGTATCTGTGCGTAGTAGATCATGGAAAGCTGTAGAGGAGTAGAGTATAGATTGCGTATGACTCTCTGAATGTTTGGCTCAGATCGGTGAACCACCTATAAAACGTCGGTAATCGGCGGTGAATACCAAATGTTTACGGCTACTACATAAGTTTTCTGATTGTTCAATTCATTTTTTTGAAGAATTATGGTTTCAGGTGAGTTCATGCAGGAATGATGATTATTTAATTCTTCTCCTTCACTTCTGTCAGTTACCTACCTAATTATGCGACAAGTTAACCACTAGGTTGTAGTTGGCAGAAAATGCGATTCTCAAACTGAATCTACCGTTTTATTTTCAAAACTACGTCTTTTCTCATTTTTGACCTGGCAACACTGGTGAAAACGTACGATAGCCAACCGAATCAGTCCCTCTAGCTGTGTTGCCATTCACATGCCCTTTATGTAACGATTGAACAAACGATCTCTATTTGGTTCATATTGAATATTTCTGAAGTCAAGAATCAGAAGGTAGGTACTCATATTTAAAAAGCCTGAATTTAAGCTACCAAACCTACGGTTCTACCAGAAACGACATCGATTTCCCGAAATAAAATTCTGATTCAGTAATAAGTTAGTTCATTCAAAATGTTTCATGAAAAATTATGATGGACTTTGAATCAGGATCACTTGAAACATACGTGTACTGATTTTCATCATCAAAATGAATAAATTGTCACAAAAAAGTTTTTTTTCAATACGTGATAAAAAAAATTTGGTAGGTATGTGAAATTTTTGGGAGAAATTTATATTTCATTTTTATCATTCAAGTACCCATACAATTCGTCTGAGGAAGAAATAAGAAAGGTGAGGTAGCATACAGGGTGTTCCTGAAATATTAGCTCATACTCAAATGGGCGATACCTGGACCCATTTCAAGAATATAAGAATATAACATTATATGATCGTTTGTCATGAACATTATTTCCTTTGAGATACAGGGTATCAATGTTGAAAATATGCAAAGATTATTTTTTGTTCATTCTGTAAAGCTTTCCGGGAGAGTGAAATTCATTCTGAGTGAAACGGTGCAAAAATTTCGAAATGTTACATATTTTCGTTATCCAGTAATTGATAACCTAGATGAAGTACTCAGCTTAGCATTCCTACATCAGAATTTGGTATGGAATTTGATAAATATTCTTTCGTTGTTCACTTTAGAGTGTAATATAAACAATAATTACCCCCTAACGGTACCACTGGTTGAGAAAAAAAAAATTTTGTACAACACAAAATGCAACATAATGCATAGAAGGCATGTACCAATTTTTATAAAGATGTCTACATTACTATCTCAGTTATTATTGAAAAATTCTCCTTTGAAACTTCCTGTCCCTGTATCTCAAAAGTTAGGACCCAGTTAACACAGAATATCTTATGGATATCCATTTCAAGTCCTATTCAAGGCGCGATATCCGTGGACATGAAATGTATATCCATAAGATATACGATTGCGAATGTACTTGAGATATCCGAAACAAACGTCCTGAATACGTCCTTAGGATATCCATAAGATACAGAGACAAAAGATCACATCAAGTATATAAAATGAATGAAATGATTAATAAATGAAAGGAGATCCACAAAAATAACACTTGTGCGTTGTCTTCCAAAAGAGCACACATTGTGAACTGTGATGCACTATCTGCTATATTATCATTATTCGGTCTTCAAAAACTGCGCGAGGTGGCGTAGATCATCGATTCCACCAACCTTGGAATAGTCAAATAATGTCAATCTGTTCTCATATTTAATTAATTTGAAGTGAATTTGGAAGTGATTCCTACGAATTCGTCCAAAATTAATGATGCATATAAGAACTGACAACTACATTATTCGAACGCAGTGAGATCGACGTAAGTGCTTCCCAATGTTTTTGATCATTCGAATTTATAGGATATACTATCTCTTATCCATATCCATAGTTGATATCTTATGGATATCCATAATGAATATCTTTAAGACATCCAAAAAGGTTACACTGTCACATCCTATATGGACGTCCATAGGATATACCAGAGCCTTTTTCGGATATCTTATGGACATCCACAATATCCATGGAGGATATCCATAGTTTATCCATGAGATGTACTTGTGCTATCTGGGGACTATCAGGACATTCTTCCATGTGTATTTTTGTTCAGTCAAAATGGGTCGAAGAATCATCACCTCAAATATTCGCATTTCTTCAAGGAACAGCCGGTATAGGTATATTTTTTATTGATTAGGAAAATATATTATTTTGTTTTTTTCTGGCACCCTGTGTTATGGTGATGAATATCTAAAGAGGTATGTTTGAAGTGATCCTGATTGAGAAATCATCATTATTTACTGAGAGAAGAATTATCATGTTGAGAAATATTGCTTATTTATTCTTTTGAATGTTTTTTTCTTATTTCATATTTCAATGATAAAAATCGGTACAGATTTGTTTGAAGTAATCCTCAATAATAATTTGTCATTAGTTCTTCCCTGAAATATGCAGTACTACATTTTCTGATCACGTATTTGAAAACATAATATCTCGTTCCCAGATAGCACTGGATATTCCAAGAATATTCTCTTGATATGCTAAAAAGGAGGAGTATATTCCGAATATACATCGATTATTCCTAGAATATATACATGCCTATGGAACATCTAAAAGGAATATTCCAAAGTGAATAGTCAGATATGTTTAGGGAATATTCAGGTATGAATTTTCCAGGAATATTTCCAACTGAATATTCTCTGTTGTATATTCATGAAATATTCCCAGCTGAATGTTCTGTGGGGTATATTCATGAAATATTCTCAAATGAATATTCTGTGCGGTATATTCATGAAATATTCCATGAATATTCCTATGTTTCTCAACACATAAATACCAATCATTATTTCAGAAATGTGAGTATCAAACATCAATTAGAAGGGGATTTTGAAACAAAAAGTGTTTATGATCCGATTTCGAACAACGCTCTCACAAGAAATTGATATGTACGACATTATTCAATTCGATTACTGGCCTAGTGGTCAAGGCGTTGCTCTGATAGTCTTGAGGTCACGAGTTCGATCCCTACTTGGGTGACTTTTTTTATTTTAGAATATGTTTATTGGAATATTCCAGGAACATTCAACATAGAATATTCTTTTGGATATATTCTATGAATATCTGAGGAATTCCCATTCGCATATTTAGAGAATATTCCATAGATATTCCGGAATATTCCAGATTATTCCTAGAATATTTCAATATTCCAAAAGGAATATGATAGGGAGATTCGTGGAATATCTGATGCTGTCTGGGTTCCTTTAAAATATGGGTCCAAATAATTGGTCGCAGTTGGCCACGATAACAGTCCAATGATAAAATCACTCTTGTTGAATGAACATTCCATGTTTCGAAATCGATCAGATAATAACGATTTCACTGGGGTGGTAGGGCCTTAACGCGGACAAACTGTATATTTCATTGTGTACGAATTTGTTCTGCTGATAATGTAATAGGAAGAAATACAATAATTGATATAAACACTCGGTTGAGAAAAAAATGGCATTACCGATCATTCATATGTTGTGCTTATAATTTAAAAATGAACATATGACGCACTTGCCCATTTAATCATTCGCCTTTTTTCAGCATCGAAGACGACTTCATTACATGGAAAGACCAATTCTGGCCTACCGTTTGTGAATATTTTGGCATCGAACCCACAGAAGAAGAAATCAACATGCACCAATACAGGCTCGAAGAGTTCGAGGAAGCTCCAGACAAGGTGTTTGTCGGAGAAATGGCTAAGTTGGATTCGTTGAAGAATCAAAAACCGTTAGTATTCATAACATTGTTACGATAAAATGTCTGTGGGTTCAAAATTTCTCAAACACTCATTAGAAAACAATACTACTTATTCAAATAGAAACATAACATTCTACAGTACACGATGCTGAATCGGAATAATAACATTCATTCTAATATGAAACTTTCCACTGATTCAACAATTCACTGCATCTCTCTCTATATATCATACTTTTGCCGTCGGGCTACCTGCCGATATTTATACCTGAATGGAGATGTTTAGGCATCTTGATCTGAACTAAGACATTTTTGCGTTTTCATAGCTTTCCGAGAACCTTTGCCATAACCTTCGAATAGCTTCTTCGTTACGCTACGAGAAAAACGTAGTCTGGAAACAATATACGGGCTGTCCCATCTAAACTGCAATTCGCAATTTTCGCAATTTTCGAAAATCAAATCACATAATCAGACTGACAGATATACGCAGGTGTCATATCTGTTGAAAGCTTCAAATTTAACGTCGATAATTTTCGGATTTTAATATAATGTAATATCTCAATATTGATTTGCCTTTTTTTGGCACAGAAAAATATTGTATATTTCATACACGGTAAAAATATTAGATTTCAGCTCACGGTTTTTTGTCTCCGTCTGCAACGTGTCGAGAGACAACACAACCTGAAGCTACAATCTTCTTCTTGTTTTCCCTTGTATAATAAATAACTATTTTGAATATATCGGAATTGTCTTCAAGAGTAAGTAGGAATAAGAATTATTCCTCATTGTGGTATAATCATGATTGCAAAATACGATTGGAAATATTTAAAACTTGAAAAAACGTTTGGGAGAGTTCAAGTACCAATATACAGGGTGAATCAGTTTTTCGTAGCAGGACCTTACAGCTGAAAGGAGATTTTTTTTCGAGATGGAAAATCTTTGTGGAGATATGCGTGAGAGCTTCGTTGCCGATATACAGGGTTTCAAAGTTTGAGATTTTTTTGTGCTTCTTCAATTTCCTCCTACAAATTCCAGAATGATGAATTGAGATCTCGTTCATTCATCACATTTTGGAGACGCAATATTTGGGGCTATCGAGCGTTCTTGAATACCTAGAAGATACACTTTTGAGGGTCGTATTCGAACTTGTTTGCGTACCTCACCTGTTTTTTTATGAAACAACAATCTAGATTCTCCCTCCAATATGGATACTTTTTGCATTCTACTTGTTTCTTTGAGAAATGTATGGGATTCAAGATGAATGCCAAAAATAATTTATTTGTAATGAAACTTTATTTTTCAAGTCCGTATTTTGTAGTATGATTGAAACAGATTCACTTTTGTTGAAATAAAAACCCTATTCGAACATATATGCATGGAAGCTTTGTTTCCGATATACAGGGTTTCAAAGTTTGAAGAATAAAGAATTGGAATTTGATACCCCTGGTACATTATGTGAACGATCATATACTCGGATCAATCGAGCGTTTCTGAATAGCTACAGGTAGTACACTTTTGGGGTCATGCAAACTGAAACCCTGTATATCGAAAACGAAGTACCCACGCATGTATGTTCTTAGAAGATGTCCATCATGAGAAGATGTTAAATTCCTGGTACAAAGAAGTGACTTACCTGGTATAACTATTCTGTCAGTTGTACGATGAATTGATGTTCATCATACAGGGCTTGAGAAAATTTTTGAATTCAGATAACCCAATCACGAATAGGTGATAAGAGTTCTTCAAAAGCATATTTACAGGATAGTGGTTGTTTCCTGTTGAATAATCCGGATGAGATTATATACATACTCATATATTTTTATCTGAAAGAGAATGCAAACTCTGAACTTCGGGAGATTATTATTTTCAAATTATCATTGTGTGTGCTCAATAGATGTAATTCAATGTTTGTCGTGGTATAAAGCAAGGAAAGTAGTTCTTCTCTGTTTAATATTGTCGGACCCCCGACTTTAATTTCGGGATCCCGACTTTGAAGTCGGAGGTCTCACCTGTACAGGATGTCTCTTTATATTTTGATCCCAACCTACATCTTCAACTATACGAAGTAGAGAAAACTCCAAATCGCAGGGTTTCATCTGTACAATCTTTTTGCACCCTTTGAACAAACAAATGCGAATCGCGAAATGAAAAAAGAGAGTATCATGGAATCTTTATTACAGAACTTTTGTGAACATTCGAACGTTACTTTTTATACGTACCTACCTATATACATATATGTACATACAATAATTTCACATCCATTGGATAATCATCACAGGATCAATCGAAAACCTCTATTTTGGATGTACACTGAATGTCAAATAATGGATCACACTTGTACGATCATTATTGTACGTATAGGGTGAATGTTTATATTCCACTCAATAGCTAAGAATCTTATTGTTTGAATAGATACCAAAAAATTGGAAGAATCGGAGTTGTTCATAGTCATATAGAATTTTTTCAGGCATAATGTTTATATGACTTTGACATACAAAACATATATTTTCACAAATGGTATACCCTGAATTCTATTCCGTCCTTGGGTAGAGCTCAGAAAGATGAGTTCAATGATATATGATTACATTGTGTAGGTATGAGATCACCCATTTCGGACTATTTCCATAATCTTCTTCAATAAATATTCGAATTTCAAAGCCTTATGAAAATGTTGAGATTCAAGTTTTCGATGCGCAGTTTTCATCATGAATCAACTAATTATATATGTTATATTAATATTTTGTCGATATTAAGGATATTTGAATTGAACAAAAGTGATAACGTATTTTGCAAACCGATCATTTTCTCGGAATTTTCGAATGTATTTAATTTCATCCTTGGAAGAAAGACGAATTCAATGATATATGATAGAATGGGTCTGAGAACACCCGTTTCGGATTTATCCATGAAGTGCTCCAATAAGTAGTCAAATTCCAGAACCTTCTAAAACCGCTATGGAATGAGTAAAAATTGAAAAAGAAATATAAGTTATGAATAAATATAGTGATTTAGGATCAGGATCAACATGTGAACCATGACAGACATTGACTGCGCAGTTAGTGCACCTTTCACGGTTGGGTAACAAACCTAGTGTCTTCTACTTTTATGTCGAGATCCCGAGATTAAAGTCGGTCCGTATGTTTTTTATGTCAAAGGCATATAGACATTATACCTAAAAAAAATTCAATATTTTTATGAACAACTCCGCTTCTCTCAATTTTTTTGTATCTATTGAACAATGGGATTCTCAGCTATTGAGTAAAATAAAAAACAATCACCCTTTACGTACAATGATCGTACAGGTGTGATCCATTATTTGACATTCAGTGTACATTCTCAGAAGGGAGGATTCCGATTGATCCTGATGTGATGATTATCCAATGGATGTAAAATTATTGTTTGTACATAAATGTACAGGGTGTTTCTTAAGTATATATAGAAAACTCAGGAGCATGTTGCTGACGTCAAACTGATGAGGTTTAATGGGAATTAATTATTTTTGTCCACATATTTAACGAATATGATTCAGCTCCTAACTTCAGTTTCGGAATCCCGACTTTGATCTCGGACCCCCGACTTCAATCTTGGACCCCCGACTCCAATCTCGGACCCCCGACTTCATTCTCGGACCCCCAACTTTAATCTCGGACCCCCAACTTTCATCTCGGACCCCCGACTTTAATCTCGGACCTCCGACTTTAATTTCGGACCCCCGACTTTAATCTCGGGATCTCGACTTTAATCTCGGACCCCCGACTTTAATCTCGGACTCTCGACTTTAATCTCAGACCCCCGACTTTGCAGTCGGACCCCCGACTTCAATCTCGGGATCCCGACTCTGATCTCGGACTCCCGACTTTAATCTCGGACTCTCGACTCTAAAGTCGGACCCCCGACTTTGAAGACGGGATTCAAGAAAAAAAAATTATAGGTTGCCCCCGTTCAGCGACTTTAAAGTCGGGATTAAAAAAAAAAATTCATAGGTGGCCCTTCAGCGCCTTCGTACATAGACAATGCGAATTCTCGAATTTTTTTTTTATAAGTATGTATCCACTTCTTTTTCATGCCCATAACATATCTGAGAATATCCTGTTTCATAGCTACCAATAACTAATATATGAATTACTGGATCCCATGGATGAACGTAAACGATATAATTTGCTCGTAATTGAAGGTAGTTTAAAACCAATGAGAGTGGAATCATCTTCGTTTGTTCATTTCTCCTAATCGATCATCATGAAGAAATTGGTTGTGCAATCTGTGGCCAGAACTCAATGGAATAATACAAATATTGAACTATATTCTTCATCAACGTGATAATTTTCGAAAAGACTAAAGTGGGAAGCATGAAATTCATTTATAATAGTTTGTGTTCTATGAACATGATCTCCAGCTGTTTTTTTTTTGTGTAAATTCACTTCCTGTACAAGAGTTTCAACATGGTCTTGAACTATTCAAATAAAACACCACATACACCGTAAATATTTGCTGGTCCTAGTTACGACCGCAGATAAAACGTCTTTCTGTTTATAACAATCAAATGAAAATCAATTAACGAATAAAGATGATCTGAAGTCGAGTGAAGTCGAAGTTCACATATAGATAATGAGAAGAAGGACTACTGTGTTTTGAATACCTCAATCAGAGATTACTGAATTCCAGAGTTGCGTTGTTCGCTTTTCCTCACATCATTGCAACGCCAAAATTTTGCGTTTGGTTGACAGGCAATTAGATGGCAGGCTGCTCCTGTGGTCTGCCTCAATAACCACTTATATTCTAATATACCATTGTATGAACAACATTGATGCAATGTATTATGCCAGGAAACAAAACAATTGTTTCAGCATTCTTGATCATATTCTGACTAATTGCTACCACCTGAATTTCAACATAGAATTAGAAGATACCTAAATCAGTGATCATAAAAAAATAGGTATTGTATTGAAAAATCATAAAAAACGAGAAATAATAAGAATTGATTATCCTAAATTCAGAAGAATATTATCTGAGAATCTAAATATGAGTCAGTGCAGAGAATTTCAAGATTTAATGAATTCAATTCTGGTATAGGATTCGTGAAATCAAAGACTGGATCACTAATGCGATAATTCGTGAAATTGAAATCAGGAATAAAAAATTTGAAATATTCAAACGAAACACTCATGATGTAAAATTCCTCACTGATTATAGAATTCAAAGGAATAAAGTTAATGCCATGGTGAAGAGAGCTGAAATTGAATATATCAATAGAAAATTCGGAGAATCTCAAGGTAATCCAAAGAAAACTTGGGATACAATCAATTACTGTTCGAGAAATGATTCGTAAATTTCCGAGAAGGCAGATATTGAATATTTGAAAACTAATGGCCAAATTATCGATAGCCATCTAGAAATACCTGAGGCAATGAACTCACACTATTCAAGTATTGGTGAAAATACTGCAAATGAAATGAGACAATTCTACAATTATATGACTAGTGACAATATTTCACCACGTTACAATGATTCAACAATACATCAGAAGTATTGTTGAATCATGAGCCCCCTGATCCAGAAGGTTGAATTACACGAGATATAATGGAATTAAAAAATATTTTGGCCAAACCACTAACAAAATTAATCAGATGAATTGAGAAATACCTCTTTACGGGCTTGGCTGTATATAAAAGTGGTGAATCTCAAAATCCAGTAAATTATAGGCCAATAGCATTATCAAGTATTTTCTCCAAAATTCTAGGAAAAACTCTCGAAAAAAAGATTGTAGATTTCATCAGTAAAAAATATGGATTCGATTTGAATCAATTCGGATTTCAAGAAAACAGTGGTACACAATCAGCAGTGCTACAAGTAATCAATTTTATTCAGGACAGACTTGCCAGAGGAAATTATATGTAGTAGCAATTTTCATGAACCTAAAAAAGGCTTTTGATACAGTTGACCACAATATATTTCGGAAAAACCTTGCTTCAATGGGAATCAGAGGAATTGGACACGATCTCTCGAAATCATATCTTGATAATAAAACTATCAGAACTAAAATTGATAACAGTGTGTCTAAGATACTATTTTTAAACAAAGAGGTTCCTCAAGGATCAGTGTTGTGTCCAATTCTGTATCTATTATACATTCAAAATATTGAAAGAATAAATTTGACAGGAAACTATACCATATATGCAGATGATACAGTGCTTCTATATGAGAATAAAAACCCAGTAGTTCTAGAACATATCATAAATGGGGACTTAACAAAATTGAGAAATGGCTTTATTTCAATCTTTTTTCTCATAATGCTAATAAGACTCAATATATAATTCTCCGTCAAAGAAATGAACAAAATATTGATCTCAATATTTGAATAAAAAATTAACGTTTGAAACAAACTGCCCATACCAAATACCTTGGTATTTGGATTGATGAGAAATTGACATGGGAAAAGCATATTTCCATCCTCATAGAAAAAGTATCTCCCATTATTGGTTCTTTGAGAAGATGTCCTAAACTTAGTACAAATACATCAAATATTATTCTCTATCCACATATACTCAGTCGAATTAACTATCTCATGAATATTTGGGTATCTTGTTCCAAAAATAGTATCAACAAAATTTCTGTTCTATATAAAAAGGCATTGAAAGTATTGTATCGTCTTCCATATGATACTCCAACGAATCAACTGTATAAGGAAACAAACACATTTTCTTTGAAAGAGCACTTTTCAATCAATACTCTGAAAATTTCCTATTATATCATCAACAAAAAGCTTAAATCAAATTTCATATCAATAAGGAATAACGAAATTCATGATCATCACACTAGACAATATAACTTGTTTCATCTTGAAGCTGCAAATTCTAAACTTGGACAAAAAAGTTAACAGATGAGGCGATTTCGAGATTCAGATGATATAAAAACCAGCCCAAATATTATACAATACAAAAATGAAGTGAAGAAATATATTCATATGCAAAGGAATGATCAAAGCTGAAAGATTATGAATTTCTTTTTTTTTTCACTGTTTTTATTTCTCCTTCTTGTTCACTATGATATGACTGTTATTTTGGGATATCCTGATGATATGTAATATTTGTTCACTATTCGTGATTTCAATCATACAACAGTCGATCATACTTCATGAATGATCTTATACCAGGAATTACTGTCTCATTCATGTCATTCCTACTAGAACATTAATTTTACTTTATATATTATTTGTATGAAATGTATCAATGAAGAAGAGAATGTAATGCAATAACTGAAACAAATTCCAGGCCTCACGACGCCAAAAATCCCTTCCTGGCCAAAGTCAAAGTGAACCGCGATCTCAACAACAGCGACCGTTCCTGCTTGCACATCGAGTTCGACATCAAGGGATCGAAGATGCGATACGATTCTGGCGACCATATTGCCGTCTATCCGACGAATGATTCGGAGCTGGTCGAGAAGATCGGCAAGCTGTGCGCCAAGAACCTGGACACCATTTTCACGCTGATCAACAATGACGAGGAGTCGAACAAGAAGCACCCGTTCCCGTGTCCTTGTTCTTATAGGACGGCGCTTACGCACTATTTGGACATCACGCAGAATCCGAGGTGAGTTCCGACCTCAGACTGAATAATATGATATATAGACACTGCGATTCATTCATGAATCATCAAAAAGTACCGTAGAATGGGGATACTTGAAACACTTTTCAGATACAAATATATACGTGGTGAAGTAATTGATCATGGTAGGAAAATTTGCTCTATCATATAAGATGTATGAGTTGTTATACTACACTGAGGAAAATTCCTTTCGACCATAGTCAGAAATCGGATTACCCCAGCAAGAAACTCAAATAGCATAGGAGACAAGCGAGTTTTCACTTGTGATTATGAAGTCGATTTTGCTGATTATAACCCAGCTGCGGTTATTCGATATAGTGGCTGCCACTAGCGAGTGCATCTGTATATTGCTATTAGAAAATGTTTCTGTAGTAGGTATCTGAGTTTACTACCGCTCGTTAGTGCATCTAATAATGGAAGTAGGGCAATGTTATAATCGTAGGTTGGGAACTTTGCTACTCTTGATGGGTGATCATATATAGATAGTTGCATGACCTTCTCGCTGTAGTTATTCAGTTATTTTCCAGGATTCTTGTCATCAAGAAATGTGAGATTTTGACTGAAATCCAATTCCACTCCCCATAATTTCCACCCTGATGTTTGGTATAAATAGCAATTTATTCATTCCTAAAGAAAATGTTGGACCAATGATCTTTCAAATTCAATAGATCTATTGATTCATGCACCCTCAGGAAAAACAAAAGGTTTTTGAGTAATTAATAAAAGGAAGATTTTTTCTGAAACTTTCTGAAACTATTGTATTTCGAAAACTAGGCAAGTTATTACAGATGCATACAGGAAAACAATAACATGGTCATTTTTGCTCACAATAAGTTTTTAGACCACATTCTATAAAAGAGCTCTGGGACATATTTGACAATTTTAAAGTTCCATGGTACCAAGAAGAAGAAAATTATCTGAATTTCACTCGAAATACCTCGAAAAAACTCACCTTTATCATTCCATCAATCCTGGTGATAACTAAAGCACTCAGATCTACGAAAACACTGAAAGGGCACATTTTTTTTTTCATTTGTTTGAAAATTCTTCCATTTTATATTCGAATTTAGATTCAGATTTTAAATAATGAGTTGAATTCAAGAGGGGAAGTATTCGTAACTGTCGTGTCGTTGAGATTGTCGTCCTGTACATGGGTTTGCATCAAGAGCCCAACTGTGAATGATTGAAATATCAAGCAAGATATCTGACGAATGCTTATATAGAGAGAGCAAATCATCGAATAACGATAAGTAGGCGCTGAATAACCGCAAGTAGGTTCATCAAATATTATTTTCGTGGCAGACTGACAGTTGTATTATTGGAAGTGAGTACAGTTCTATGCGATGAACCTCGCAGCCACAAGCATATAACTCACTAGTAGTAGTTCAGCTAGACAATCATTGAAATAAAAAGCATGCTGTCCCAGAGTGGTTGCCTGATAGCATTGATTGATATATTACGCTTACGCTCGTGATATACCAATCAACGCTGATAGCGACAGCAGTATACCTTCCTGTGGCAGGAAATTCAATTTCAGCAAAGTCGATATTGCTATCATAGGATTTCAAGGTGCTGCTTTTATTCGAAAATGTATAACGGTAATATGATTTCTTGTAATGGTAGCAAGAAATATATCAGCAAAAACTCCAAAGCACAATTTTCCTCAGTGTATAATTGAAAAAATATGCATCTGTGCCTGTTCATCCGTTGAAGTGATGATTCGGAAACTTGGAACAGTAATTCAAAAGTTCCGTTATAGTCAATTTATCGACTCGTGGGCATACTTGGATAATGGATATTTCTTTTAGGATTTTCTGGATCTTTCCTGAATCAGTTTGTGATGAAGTTATCCAAAGAATGAAATATTCTGAAAAGAATACATTATATATTACCTAGCTCATTGTTATGAATGCATTGTTTCATTAAAGAACCTAAAATATGTTTCAAATATAATTCATAACAGAAAAAAAGTCGAGTAAAATCTCATGTCGCAACAAAACTTCAAAATAAACTCTTTGGTGTTGGTGGTGGGGCGTTTGAAGGGTGGTAGTTGGGTATTGGCTGAAGGGAAAGTCTTAACAGGTACCTTTTATGATCACAAGCAAGGTACAAACATTGACCTGAAGATTTGAATGTTGATTTTTTCTGTTATATCCTTGCTTATATTTTCAATATGATGAACAAGAACGATATTTTTTTACGCCACTTATTTTCAATTGACTAGTTTACTAAACATTAGGTACTGAACAACTATATGCACGATACACTGTTTCGAAATAAAGTCAGCTGTAGATTTCAGGAGGTAATTTGAAAATATGAAGTTTTGTTCCAATTTACCCAGCAGTTTCAAGCATCTTGATTTTACGATATACGCCAACAATGCTAAACACCAGACACGGATAATTATTGAGGTAGTAGTAGTAGTAGTAGTAGTATTGTGGGGAGGCTGTAGCCAGGCTCTCCACATATCTACACATCCCTCTTTTAGTTGTCCTTTTCAAACCTTCCCGTCCTTCTGATGGAGGTCAGGATGTCCATCCTCTCTAATTCGGCCAAATCTTACTGTTGTAGTTTATCTACTCCAAAGATTTCGAATCTCATCCTTCCATACGCCTCACACTCTCCGAGGAAGTGAAGTGATGTCTCCTCATCTTCTCCGCATGCACGGCAAGTGGGACTATCTTCCACACCTATATGAGTGATAGGTGTCTGCGTAATCTGTTGTGCCCTGTCAGTACCCCTATAAGAAGGCGTAGGACTTGGCGATCCCTACCCAGTAACTAAGCCGTCTTTGGCTTGCTTGGACCGGCCACCAGGTCTCTCGATGGCCTGCAGCCGCCTATACGCCTCCAATATCCTTCTAGTGCCTCGCCCGCTCATTTGTTAAGTGCGGACGAAGTTTGGCTTCTTGTTATGCCCAGTGCAGGCTCCGGTCCCCAGAACGGTGTCGCGGATCCGATTCTAGCCAGTTCGTCGGCCACCTCGTTCCAGAGGCCACCCCCCTGTGACCCGGAACCCATACTAGTTCGACTTCCTACTGTTCAGCTAGTTTCTCAAGAGCATCACCACATTCCTGCACCAAAGCTGAGCTTGGTTTAGGATGGCAGATAGCCCTGAGAGCCGCCTGCCTATCCGAGCAGATGTAAATCTTCTGCTCTGGTCCCTCTTTCACCTCTTGCCTCTCCGCTACTGCCAGAATGGCAAAGACCTTAGCCTGGAAAACTGTGGTTTACTTTCCAAGAGCATAGCTCTCCCTTATTCCTATTCCTTCTAGGTAAATTCCAGCACCTGAGTCCTGTGTGTCAGTTAGGCGCGATCCGTCCGTATAACATACTAGACTCCCTGGGCGGAATTCCACTCTGTTCTCTTCTCATTGTTCCCTGCTTGGAATAGTAAGGGTGAACCTTCTATTCCATCTCAGCCTATTTCGAGCGTTCTTTACTCTCAGGGTGGAGATAGGAATCTCCTGCTCCACCCATGTCGCATTTTCCGCGTGACCTGTCACTGCTCCTCCGTTAGCCCAACTTCCAGAGTCTCGCATCCTCATATAGGCCGCCATTGCTTTCCTCTTAATCCAGATTGGAAGCGACGGCAGCCCCAGCAGTACCTCCAGCGTTGCAGTTGGCGTCGTCCTCATAGCCCCTGTAATCGCCAGGCAGGCCATCCTCTAAACTTTACTAAGCTTTCGACTAATTGTGCTGGTTTCTGCACCTGGCCACCACACAGCTCATCCATACTGAATCTTTGGTCCTACGACCGCTGCGTATAGCCAGCGCATAATCTCGGGGTTAATACCCCAAGTTCCCTCAACGACCCTCCTCAGTTGCCAAAGAATTGCCACCGACTTTTGCACGATCCTATCTACGTGTAGCCTCTATGAGAGTCTTGGGTCCAAGACGACACCTATTATTGAGGTATGTTCGCGTTTTTGAAATAAACAGTCCGTAACCATCAGAAGCATGCGCAGTTTCACATAACTCGAAAAATTCGTACTGTTTTGTGAAATTACGCATGCTCCTGATGGTTTCGGACTTCGGACTGTTTATATTTTGAACGCGAACAAGCCTAAGTTCTTAACAACGAGTCATGTTTCCTGGTGCTCGAAAACATAAGTGAGAGTGAGTAAGACATATATAAATATATATATTTGTATCTTGGAAATAAAGGTTAGTTCCCTTCCATGTATTGTCAACTTCACAGGCGGAAGGGAATGCTCCCTTGATATTTAATAGCTATTAATATATCAAGGTAGGAAAAGTATTCATTTCCTCCTGCGTGTGAAGTTTGATGCACGACGCGTAGCCCCCATGATATATATATATTATTTTATCAACGAACCCATTTTTCGAAGTATCATTCTTTGTGATCTTGATCCATCATTATGCATTATAAAGGTATAGTATGCCATGAACTATTGACGGTATTTGAACGAAATTCAATTTGACACTTATGTCATCATGAATCAATTGATTTGTATATTGTGTAACTGCATTCGAAAATATTTATGAGAACCACGTTCGGAATATGAAGAAGCATATATAATATCATTGGAATTCAAGAAGGATTTCATTGTTATTTGATTCACAATAGTGATGAAGAAACTGATTACTTGGATTGCACAGGTTTTATAGGTATATATTGACGCCGAAGGATGCATGCTGAAGCAAATTTATTCAACCTTCTACGGAAGTTACTATTTTTTTCCTCCCATGGGAGGTAATTGATAACTTTGTTTCCTCTAATGAGGAAGCATCAAACGCCTACTTTCGATTCAGTGAGTAGATAAATAGCTATTATGCACTAGCGGGCGGTGAAATGCACTTTATCGCCAAGATTTGCGGGCGTAAAGTAGTACTTTACCGCCAGCGGGCCCATTATCGTCCACGGGCGCCCGCTGTTCTCAAGTCCCTTATATCCACACATCCATTTGTGGAATACCCATATTCGAACTCTCAGCAGATTATATCGTTATGATCATGATACATGTTATATTGTTCATCCGGTTCCATCATCGCTATAACTTCCTTTCTTGAATAATTGTTTTCTGGCTGTCTCAAGTTTTTAGCGAAAAGATGACAATTTCAGCTTGTTTTCTGGATGTATTGCTAGACAGCAACCATCAGATTGATTGACAACGTCAAATTTAGGTAGCTATATATACTGAGTATACTTACATTTTGTTACGTCTCAAGGAATGAATCTCTGTCAGTGAACGGAGAGTTTTACTCTTACGATAATTGCGATATTCGTACAGTAAATATGTAGATTTCACACATAAACATTGCGCTTCTATTGAAAACTGAATTTATGAGTGACATGTGAGTGTGAGTGGCCTTCAGCGTGTAATGGCCCTCGGCTAGCGCCATCGGGCCATTATTCACGCCACAGGCCATAAACGCCTACTTTACGCCCTTGATACATGAATAACTATTATGCACGACCGGGCGTGAAGTAGCACACTACGTCAATTTATATTTACCTACTGGTGATACGTATTCATGTAAAATTCAGAACATGTATGTTTAGTTGTGATGAGTCATTACCTCATATTTAAATTCTCTTGATATTTCTGAGATGCAAAATGATGTAAATCGTACCCAAAATAAGTGATTTGTGATGACAATAATTGACAGCAGACATGATATTTTTATCGTTCTTGAGAGGTGAAGAGGTATATTCACACTAAAAAATCAAATATACCGGTTGTGCATAAAATGTTTTATGTAACTCGACGTGTCAATTGCCCCCGCTGTCGTGTGGGATCTTACAAAGCTTATTTTACGCCCTCGATGCATATATAACTATTATCACGTTGTGGACCTGCACGATGAATAATATGTTTTTCATTATTCTCAGTAATGAATTTCTGACAATTGTGTTATTATATGGGTGAACTATTATGTCATATATATACCGGGTGTCCCATTTTAATCTTTATTTGGAAATTTCTCGAAATGTATGCATCTGACAAAAAAAATTGACGAATAAAAGTTGTATGGTTTGGAGGGGGACGTCTGGTTATGGAACAAGTTTCACCCCATGACCCCCAGGGGAGTAAGAAATGGAGGTAACATTGAAATCTCTAATGGAAACCCCTATTTTTTATTGCAGATTCTGGAAGAGCATTAAAAACTATGAAGCTTTTATTCAGGAACTTCTTTTTTATTTTCACAAGATGGCGCTGCGATCGTAACAAACTATATTGCACTATTTACACATTTCAACCCCCTGAAGACGAGGAAGAGTGTAGGGTGTGATATTTTCCCAGACAAACGCCATTGGGGTGATATTCACACGACAAATTAACGCTAAACGAACTTACTCACCTTGACACCTCTACATAGAAAAGAGAAAAATAAGCATGGTTCAGCAATTAAGGTATCATTTAGGTCAGACTAAAGCTGGTTTCAAGTGAGATTGACTACTTTATCAAGTGTTCGAAATGACCTCCATTTTTTTGAATACACAATAAGTTCACTCGTTTTTCAAATGCCGCACTGTCGCTTCCGACATAGCAGGCGTTAAAGCCATGCACGCTCCTCTAATTCTATCTTTCATATTCTCGCGTGTGGTTGGGGGTTCGCGAAACACAATGTTTTTGATGTAACCTCACAGAAAGAAGTCTGGGGAAGTCAAGTCGTATGATCTGGGTGGCCAACTACAAACTAAATAGTAAAATATTGTTTTTCAAGATCGCAGGGCCATCTTGTGAAAATAAAAAAGAAGTTCCCGAATAAAAGCTTCATAGTTTTTAATGCTCTTCGAGAATCAGCAATAAAAAATAGGGGTTTCCATTAAAGATTTCAATGTTACCTCCATTTCTCACTCCCCTGGGGGTCAGGGGGTGAAACTTGTTTTATAACCAGACGTCCTCCTCCAAACCATACAACTTTTATTCGGCATTTTTTTTTGTCAGATGCATACATTTCGAGAAATTTACAAATAAAGATTAAAATGGGACACCCGGTATATATGGGTTGTTCTTTTTTCATACTCCACTTCTCATATACCGAGTCGAATGAGATGTTTTGTACTGGAAATCCTTCAGATATCATCTCCACAGAGGTCCTTAGAATTCGATGATCTTCACGCAGTAGAAATAAGCAAAATAAATTACTTTTTCTCCAAGCAGCATGAAAAGTTGCTTTTCTCTGACACTCAACAGGCAGAAAAGGTGTCTTTTCTTGCCTTGGCATGTGTGTTGCTATGCAACGTTTCAATTAATTTCAATGTAATTGTTAATCAAATTTGTCACTGACATTGGGTGAACCCAAAATAAAGGAGTTCTCAATGAAAATATTACACAAAATTAATATTTGGAGAAATATGTTCAACACGGCATCAAATATCTATTGAATGCTCAGTAAAAAAAATTCTTAATTCTTTTTCCTCTGAGACTCCGACCATTTTACGCAGAGCGCTGATTGATTTTCTCAATATTGGCAGCGTTCACTTGCGATTCTGTCACTTCACAAAATGTTAAAGATCATTCACGTTCAGTGTTTTCATGATAAGGTGATTGAAATTTGATTCATGAGAAGACATACATCCAACAGGTAAATATCCCTATAGTTTTTTTTGGAGAATTAACCATAATTTGCGGTAGCCAAGGTTCACCTTCCTGATTATTACCAAACCGGGTCTGATTGAAGCATGGTTTGTTATCCATACATCAATGTACTTCCGTTATCTACACTGTGTGTTTGTCATCTACATTTACTGTTATCATTTGTATCAAAAATAAACAGACATTTATATAATAAAACAATAAACATGACACACGTGAGGGAAAGAGGAACCACCATATATTACAACAATGCGTAGTAAATATCAGATATATTTAGCCTTAGTGTATCTATCATACCATATGTTCGAGAAAGCTTCCTCATGACACATGACCAAAATATTTTTTCCCCACCTTGATCATCAACTGACGTATAAAAAATGTCAAAACATCGTCTTATGGCCTAGCCCATCAAACTTTATTTCGAATCACAAGTACCTATAGATTGACATATCTTCTGGAGAAATTGATAGATAATCCCATCAAGTGACAAATCAAAACTTACAATTTCTCCTCACATCTTGGGTCTATCCCTGAATTACCTAACAATTATCAGACCTGCTAACCTTCCATAATTTACAATGGTCTCGCCATTCATCGTTGAATATGCGAACTCCATATTATCTCTATGGTATGATCGACAAATCAATTGATGATAGCAAGACAAATATTTTTCCAATGATCATGTTAAGAAACCTTCCATCTATCGGCACCTGTTATTATGAGAATTGAGAATATAAATTAATTCTTTCTTTTCTCCAAGGACGCACGTCCTCAAGGAGTTAGCAGAGTACTGCACCGATGAAGCAAACAAGGAAAAGTTGAGGCTGATGTCCAGCACTACTCCCGAGGGAAAGGCTCTCTATCAGTCGTGGATCATCGAGGACAACAGGAGTGTCGTTCACGTGATCGAGGATATGCCTTGTTGCCGGCCCTCTTTAGACTATCTCTGTGAGCTCCTGCCAAGACTACAGCCTAGGTAACTATATATCATGAGTATAATGCATTATTCCATAAAATTCTATTCCGAGAATATCTGATTTTGAAACCAACGTTAGATAGAAGTCCATTGTAGGTTGAAGTGGAGTGATATGATTCATATTCAATGAGAAAATCACAGTCACAGACATATGCAATGCCATCTTCAGCCTATGCTAATACAAAACAAAAAGAAACATCATAATATGGGGAACCTTTTATTCTGATGATAGTACTCACATGAAAATGAAAAGGTTATATTCAATTTTTTTCAAATTATTGATATTTATTGAGTTTTTTAAGGAGTCTCAACCTCCAAACATAAACAATCAATCAAAAATCAACTATTGTTGAGGAAAATGGAAAACTTTTCCTGCTTCCAGAAAGCCATCTTGTACAAGAAGGCATGTCTGAGGTTGAACGTCAAAACCCGTTCTAGATCTCACAGTCCTTGACACGAGATGTCTGACCATGTCAAGCCATCAGCAGACAGAGGGCAAACGTCAGTGATGACACAAATCACAATGACAAAGGTGCATAAAATGATAAAATCAGAAGCTGTACAAAACTACACCAGTGGAAGAAAGAATGTTATATGTTATATAATACAGTATCAATGTGATTACTTTTTATTCCCAGACGTGACAAACAAGATAAGAATGACAATTTTTAGATAGAAACAACTGTCATCATCCTAACATACAGTACGTATATACTACATCTCTCTCTTCAAGTACTACGGAAGTCAGTGAGGTAGAAGATGAAGAAATTTATTTCGATTCCTCCGATAGATGTTATCCAAAACTTGTACTGGTTCAAGTTTCGTTTAGCTGAAATCAGTTATGGAGAAACTGTTGCTATGGCGACGATCGTCATGGTAACGAGTAAACAAAAACCCAATTCTCGTGGTAAGGAAATGCGTGATGGTTGCCAAGTTGTATCGGGTTTAGTATAGCTGAAATCAGTTATGGAAAAACTGTTGCCATGGCAACGATCGTCATGGGAAGGAGTAAACAAAAACTCGACTCTCGTGGTGAGGAAATGCGTGGTTGCCAAGTTCTACCCAGATAGCACACAATCGCCTAGGGTCATCCTCAATGTGTCGCCAAACGCCTAGAGAGGACGTTATGTTTTCTACAACCTAAGGACATCATCAGGCGTAGATTCAGCGCCGTAATTGTCCTAGAAAAGTTCTTTCAGTGACAGCCTGAGGCTGCAGCGGATTTCGTGCCTACGGATGTCTTCAGATGACATTCCATGAAATAACGTGTCGACGAAGCCAAAAGGAAGAAGAAAGAAGAGAACTGGAAATACTAGAAGTGAGGTTATGTTCCATGATAATATTTCTCTGAGAAATTGATGAGGTAATAAGAAATACAGGTAATTAATTAATCAAATCATTGATAGTAGGTACTAGACATGAAATATTGAATATATTATTTCATTTCAGGAGGTTATTGAGAACACAAACTTGATGATATCATCAGAGCAGAGATGTTTCATTCCAATATATTTTGGCTTCTACAGAATCTATCAAACATTGTATCAAGGCTTGAACTTTCAGTGGATTCAATAAAGATAGGTAGGTACCTACTCATTGTTAATAGGTAGTGGACATGAAATATTAATACATTAATTATTTGTTCCAGAAGGTTATTGATGAGAACACAAACTTGATCATTATATCATCAGATCAGAGATGTTTGATATTCCAACATATTTTGGCTTCTTTGGAATCTATAAGAGATTGTATGCAGGCTTTAACTTCCAGTATAGATACAATAAAGGTACCTACTAGGTAGGAATCAAATCATATTGATAGTTGGTATACCTACTGGACATAAAATATCAATACAGTATTTGTTTCAGGAAGTTATAGAGAACACAAACTTGATATCATATTATCAGAGCAGAGATGTTTCATTCCAAGAAATTTTGACTCCTTCGGAATCAATAAAAGATTGTATGCAGGCTTGAACTCTCAGTAGATTCAATGAAGGTTGGTATCTGAATCAAAAAATTGATAGTATAGGTAGGTACTGGACATGAAATAATAATACATTATTTATTTCAGAAGGTTATTGAGAACACAAACTCTTGATGCTAACATCAGAGCAGAAATGTTCAAATCAAATATATTTTGGCTTCTTCTGAATCTATAAAAGATTGTATGCAGGCTTGAACTTTCAGTGAATTGAGCATCAGATAGTATGTCCAGGGTTCAGAAATCACAAATAATAACAAACAGAAAACTCACAACAGAATTAGAACAAAACAAAAATCATCATAATGTATTATTATGTTGATGATGATTCTTCTCTGAGAAAGAAAGGAAGCAAGGTAGGTGGATCAAATCATAGATATCACATGGATATGAGATATTGAATCATTGTTTGTTTCAGAAGGTTATGGAAAACACAAACTTGATGTCATCTATGAAATATTGTATGAAGGCTTCAACTTTTAGTAGATTCGCAGCATTAGGAAGCATATCCAGAGTTGAGAAATCAAAAACAACATAGAGAAATATTACCAATGGGCAATAACTTCTAGTAGTGCTCAACACGAAGCTGAGATACATTTTTTCAAAACAAAACTTGGAAATCTTCACCAATAAGTTATAAATAATAGGATGTAAGTTTTATTTGAACATATTATCATTCCAGGAAAATTCCGCAAATATCATTATGTGAATATTTTTTCAATAAAATTTCATTTTTATCAACCTATCCCTAGACATTTTTCAATACTACCTAAAAATGTTTCCATAATGCCCTAAACATGTCCCAGAGGACCTTATAGGGATGTTCTAAGACGTTATCAGGATGTAGAGAACGGTAACAGGAGGACGAGCTAGGAACGTCCTCAGGCTCGCCCTCGACGTCCTGAGGACATTATTGTGAACGCCTCAGAAAGGCCTCAAAAGGTATTTGTGCTATCTGGGTATCAACTTTAGTTTCACAAGAGTTCTTGCTAGTATGCAAACAATAACTTGATTCGAATGAATACTCTTCTTATCAATTTCTTGAAGACTGTCCCAGATAGCACAAGACGTCTTTAAGATGTCTGAATTATATCCTATCTTAGTCTGTACGTCTTACTCCCTGAATAAGACGTCTACAAGATGTCATCATTCAGACGTTTTGAAGATATCTGATTCTCACGTCCTGAATACGTCTTAAAGACATCGTAATAATACAAATAAGCAATAATGATATTTGGTATATTATAATAAGTATTAATCATAATGACTTTTAGTGTGTCATATCTGAACGTTCTCCACTCTCAGAATTCCTGAATTCCACACTTAGTTATGGTTCTATTCTCATAATATGCGTTAAACTTTTAATAAAAAATATAGGTATGATCATATTGATTCAGGCTAATAAAATATTTTCATTTCCATAATTTTTATAACTTCACCGTAATACATAGAGGTTATATAGATTGTTCAGAGTAAGTTATTTTATAAATCGGGTGGGATGATTTGAAAATACCGCCATGTCCAACGAAAGAGAGATCGTAGCGCCAGAGCCAGAACGGCGAATGCCAGTACTATTTGATTGTTTACATTTTACATTGTTTGGTTTTGGTGATGGTGTTTATTGAGAGGTGTCTTTATGTTAATTTCGTTTTGAGTTCTCAATCATTCTCAGCTTTGATATTTGTGCATTTTTTTAAGCCGTGTTTTCCAGTGGTTCATTGTGTTTTGTTTGAGGACAATAATATCTCTGATGTTTAACAGTGGAACACCTACCTCTACCTCTAGTTGGAATGTTGAACCTAAAACCTATACCAACATAATGATAAGCTGTAAGTTTTCATCATTATTGAACAAGAATTCTTATGATTTGGTCATTTAGCCTGTGCATTTCAATCTGTCTACACTTTTTCAGTGATTCAGTGTCTCCAAAATGAAGCTGAGCTCATAAATGCGGGCCACCTGGTTTTGGCTGGTCAAATGGATGCAAATGATATGCATTGAAGTATAATAAGTATTATGCCTTATTATGTTTACAGTCCACTGTGTGTGTCAGGTAAGAAGAACTCTCCCTAATAATGATATTGGTAAACTCCTGAAACTCAACTCTATATCATTGTTTTCAGGAAGAATGTGGGATCTTCCAGAGATATAAATATGCTTGGTTGACACAAAAAGCAATCAACAGAGGGACTAATACAATCAGTATTCCTGTAGATGAGATGCCTTGTTTAAAAAAAATGAAGAGCAGTTATATGAAACATAATGAATATTCTCAATTTTCCTATCACAAACAGGGTGGACCAGCAACTTCTTTTCTGGAAATGTCAAACCTGTCCTTGGTAGTTGTACTTTTCAAATAAATGTCACAAAGATCAACTATTTATTTTTGTTGTATGTACCTACCTACATGTTCCCCCATAATCCCCAGAGGAACCTTGAAATCCATTCAGAAGTGAGGTCTTTCTCATGTCTTTTCTATGCCTTCATAAGACTCAGAAGAGACATTTTAAAGATATCTTAAAGACGTCGTGATTTTTAACATCCGGCCTATAGAGGACGTCTTTCAGACGTCTCTAAGGCGTCCATAGACGTCTTAAAGACGTTGTGAACGTCTGAGAACGATGTCTTTAGGATGTCTTAAAGATGTCTTTGTGCTATCTGGGGTTCGTCGTTGATTGATTCCCAAATTACTACTTCTCTGACAATCATATATGGAAATGATGTCAGGAAAAATAGGCTCTGTTAATGAACAGAGCTAGACAAAATAGCGAGCGACAAAATAGTGCGGAACAAATAGAGCATAAGGAAGGATACTACTTTTTCTAAACAATCTAACCTAATTCGGCTTAAATGAACCTTCTTAGAAAAAACATATTTTTCAACATCGATCAGATTTGGTAGCAAGGCATCGTTCGTGTGTGTTTGAAGACTGCATAAAGAAGGACACTACTTTTTCCAAACAATCTAACCTGACTCGACTTCAATCAACCTTCTTCTTAAAAAACTATCATTTTCCA